CCAACTTCACCTTTACGAATAAACTTTATATTTGGGTCTCTCTCTGCCTCCCGCGCAGGGTCCCCATCGCAGAATCGTCCTTTGCCATCAGACATGGACGCAAATGTCGTTTGCTGAGCGATACGTTGAATCATCTCTGAAGGTAAATCTTTACCTAGAAACTTGGCTATTTGTTGAACAGCACGAGGCAGATCCTGGTTAAGAAAGATAAAATGTTGCTGTCATTGGAGAACAGAGGTGCACTGGAGAGAAGAACACGATGGCTTTCTTCTTGAGCTCATACAAGTTCACTGTCAGAAATATTTTAGATACTAATCTATTAGAATTTGAAATGTCATGCTGGCCTCTAACTCAACATCTAAATATAACCACCTCCCCATTCCCCCTTAATTGCTGCGAACGAAGTGAGCAGCGACACTAATCTCGCAGGCCTTTTGGGGTCCCTGTTCCATACATACATACTGAAGGCGAAAGTCGATGATAGACACTTCGAGCCTACAGTAAACATTACATAATCAGCGGTTATTATCAAATGATGCGCCGTTATGCGCCGTAAACTGCATGGTCTTTCTATTGCTTTTCGATCTCTTGCAACGGCAAGTTCGACAAGTATTTAGCATGTTTAATGCGACTTTATTTATTCGAGGAAGTATTTATCAAGGTGATAATCGTTTTAGCKACATTTCTAKAGGAAGGSAATGTGCTTTTATGAGTCTTTCAGCTTTGTTATCTGCACATTGTGATTATATATCGACGTGGACGACAGATACGATGGATTGTGTTTTGGCCGAATGAGATCTTTTTAACAGCATTCGAGAAGCGCTCTATGCCTGATGAAGAGACTATTTCTCTGAATTATCTGCCAGGTCGAGTCCTTTGGTTTCCGATGACATAACTTCCATCGCACATTTAGGTAAACCAGCCAAACCAATCGCCCGACGAGGCACTAGCAAATCAAAACAATCGCCCGAAAATAAATAAAAAATTAAAAAAATACAGTCTGTAATAAAGTGTACATATACGTTCTAATCTTCTTTCTTTTTGCCATGTATTCTCCCTCCATAAAATCAAATAAACATAAAACAAATTTGAACAAGCATCACAGAATTTACATATCGCAGCACTTTACTTTCGATAGGAACCGCTAGTAGCCCAAATATTACTCTAGATAGGAACCATGCTTACGGCCAAATAATGAAAGTTTGCCTCACCATCTCCTGCGCATCTTTGGTGCCTACTATACTAGTCATCAGTACCTTTTTCATATCTTCGTACTTTAGGAACAGAACATTGTCATCATCACGATGAGCCCACCATCCAAGCACGTGATCAAACCAACAGCCGTATGCAACTGAAAACATAATAATTTTCATTCTTTTGAGAAACAGAAAATAAAGGAACTGCAGGTGCACAATAAACATTCTTAAAAGAAGGTCTTCAAAAAAAAGGTCTAAAATTTCAGAAATGGTCTAAAATATAAACCCCATCTCTGCTACAGAAACCCAATCTCTGCTACAGAGTTGACCATAATGATGTCAAAAAAATGTCTTTATCCTCCTTTCTATTAACAAATTACATCA